GAGCACACACACAGAACGACTGCTATCTCCTGAGCGCCTACACGCGCGGAACGCGCCTGGCCTGATAATCAGTGTCTGAAATATGCTCGCCTATGTTCTTCCCACACTTTGCTCTATACACCACTCGACGTCAGTCCGTAGCAGAAGGTATCCGCTGCATGCTGAGAATACATGTCGCGTTCCAGGCTTCCATCGACTACACGCCAACTGCTTCTGCAAATTTCCCCGACCATGTGCTTGTTCAGTTTCCCTCCTGGCCCCACAACTCATCCCTATATCCCTAACCAGGCACTTGCTCCCCCGTTCTCCCTTAACAAATGCGCCCACTCTCCCGTTCCCCTCTGACCGCACACCTGCTCCCTTCATTCTCCCCAAACCAACGCAACCACTCCTCCATTCCCCTCTGACCGCCCACCTGCTACCTCCGTTCTCCCCCGCCCGCACAACTGCTTCCTCTGTTCTCCCCTGGGCATACAACTGCTCGCCAGTTCTCTCCTGACCACGCTCCTACCCCCTCGTTTCCCTTGACCCCCTACGTTTGACGTTTCCAACCTACTCCCTCGCTCTTCCCCGACTACGCACCTGCTCCCCCTGCTTTCTCCTACCACAAACTTACTGCCCCGCTCTCCCCTGGCCACGCTCTTACTCCCCCCCCCCTCGTTTTCTCCTAACCACATACCTGCTCCCCGTTCTCTCATGACTATGCCCCTACTCCTGCACTCTCCCCTGACCGCGTCCCTCCTCCCCAGTTCTCATCTGACCACGTACCTGCCGCCCCGCTATTCCCCAACCACACCCTTATCCCCTCCATTTTCTCATGACCACACGTCTGCTTCCTCGTTTTTCCCTGACAACGCATCAGTTCCCCGCTCTCCCCTGACCATGTTCCTGCTCCCCCGTTCTCTCATGACTCCGTACCTGCTCCCCCGTTCTCCCCTGACCACACACCTCCCCCTCCCGCTCTCCCCTGGCCACACACCTGCTCCCCCGTCCTCCCCTTACCACAAAGCTGTTCCCCTGCTCTCCCCTGATCTCACACCTGCTCCTCTTGCTGTCGTCGCAGTACGCTCAGTGTATCAGTCACGTGCGCGTCCATGCGGTCAGCCGTCTCCTCTGCCTGGCGGCGCAGCAGCTCCTCACGAGCCTGCAGGCTGCGCCGCGCCTCGTGCTCACCCCGCTCCCGCCGGCGCACGCCGCCCTGCGCGCAGCAGCAGGTTAGCCTGCAGTCGGCCAGCGTTGGGCAGGACACGGCCCATACACGGCTCACCAAGCGGGGCGCCGGTCCGGCCAGACATTTGCGGGACGGTGAGACACGTGGGCAGGGCAGGGCGGAATGGGAAAAGCGGAGACAGGCGGCACAATGCCTTCCAATCCGCGCTCGATGCCATAGAAAGGGCCTGGGAGTGTCAATGCCTTGCTACCTCATGTAAGAAGAAGCAAATATTTCGTATGAGATGTACATCATAATGCGTGATGACGATTTCGCAAGTAGGGTAATAATTGGTTATTAACCACAGCATATGGTTGTTAACCATGGCAAGTGATCACATATTCTAAAGATGATTGCGGGGGGGGGGAGGAATGGATAGATAAAAGGACGTCATGTTGTCATGTATCTCCTCTAGACAGAGTTACCTGGGGCCGTTAAATTTCAGTCCCAGTCAGCCAAGACGGGCCTAACGTGGCAGGCCACTGGACTCATCACTTTGTTGTTGTTTTTTTAGAATCTAGCAGATGTTTACAGGGGCGTAGTTCCTTATTCATTTCGGAATTCATGTTTGTGTTTGTGATTCATATTCGGTTTCATACTCAAATTCATTCTCATTTTGCGAAACTACGGCCCTGGATGTTTGCCAGCTTGTCATGACTAATGCAATACTGGACTGGGCTCAGACTCATCTGTTTCCCATGAGACCTCGGACTCATCTGTGTGTGTGTGTGTGTGTGTTTTTTTTTACCTGATAGGTGTTAACCAGTTTCTCCTCACGACTAATGTAGCAGTCCTTCTGGGCCAGCTTTCTCTGCGTGAAACTTTCTTCCGTCTGGTTGACAAAAAATTTCGTAGCGACAAGCTTGCCATCATCAAACACCGCTTCAGCAGCATACTTCCTAAAAATATGACACATTCGCCAAAATCTTAACCCACGAGGCCATTTGACAAGCTTGTAATTGATATTTCCTGTCAATGAGTTGGCTTCAAAATGATAAAATTATCAAATAGATTTCAAACATACGGCGCACATTCTTTTACAACATCAGGCATGGTTGAGTACATGCACAAACCCTCACCATGCTCATATGCCATGCCAGAAAAAGTTCGTCGAAGCATAACGGAAACACCTGCGTTAGGAGAGCCCTGCAATCTGGCCCGATATCCCAAACTGGGCTAACATGATGAGCTGATAACCATGAATGTAAAAATGACGGCAGATCAAAAGTGTCTAACGGATTGGTGCAAACGCAGGGCGCTACATCTGCTACGCAGACACGCTTTTTGTTTCACGTCACTTCCCAGATTCATTAATGCGAATAGCCAGAGAGGCGCTTAGCCACAGACAGCAGCCGTCATCACACGTACGCGCACACGCACACGCACATGAGCAGGCGTCGGAGCAACAATGTCAGACTATCAACTAGCAAACGGAAAATCAGCCCAGCAGTGCACATCCCGGCCAAGCTCCCCACGCACACTCTCGTTAAGTCCATCGCCGTACGTGCCGGCACCAGACCGCCGTGCCTCCTCACTCGAGCGTGGCGAGGCGCTGCGTCAGCCAGTGGTGCTGACGCTGCTGCTCGGCAACGTTGGCGTCCAGGCCGACCAGCTGATCACGCAGGTAGCCGTAGAGCGCGTGTCGGCCGGCACGGGCCGCCTCGAGCGTGCGCGCCGCCGCCCGCTGCCGGCGGCCGGCCAACGCCTGCAACCGCTCGTTGCAGGCCGCCAGCTGTTGATGCGTCTGGGGAGATAAGACACGCAGCTGCAGTGGTATGGACGCCAAACGTGCACAGCGGTTGGCCCCGGTCGTATACAAACATGGCCGTTGAACAGGAAAATGTAGGAAGGAGCATGTTTGGTGATGCATGCTGGTGTAACACATCAAATTGGCAAACAAGATTGAGTAGCATGATATTAGGGTGAGCTCTCTTTCAAATAGTCTCATCTTCTTTGTTTAATCAAAGAAAGTGCACAACAACTAAAATGTGTTCATGAATTACATTGTTAAAACTACTGGGGCTAGCTTGTTATAAATAGTATCCACATAATTCATTTTGCTGATACCTAAGACTTACACTGTGCTTAACAGGAAAATGTGTTAGAAATGACTTAAATAAATCCATCTGAGCCCTGAAATTTCTTCAGTCTTTATGCTGCAAGTCAGTAAAACCAGCTGCACGCAATGTTTCGGACAGCTTGCAAATTAAAGGCCACACCACTGCACAACAGCACAAGCCTGCTTCACCAGCGAGTTTGCATCCACTTTATCTACTGATGACCAAATGCTGAACTGGACCAATCTCTGTTTTCATTTAGAGCTAGATGCTTGCTTGTAATAAAAACTTCAGTATCATATTACCTCAGTCAGTAAGGGCTGGAAGCCTTCACAAGTTTGTTGTGAAAAACCAATTGCTTTCTTAGCAGCAATCAGCTGGTGTTGCTCCTCTAGCTTTATTTGGTTTTTAGGACCACATGGCTCCACACCCTTGTTCTCTTCCTTCATGTTCAGCACCAGCTCAGCCTCAGCCATGATAATGAGGTGTCATGCCAGCTTAAGGCAATATGACTTCATGACAGGTGTGCATATTGCATGACAATCAAAATGCATTAATCAGTTCCACAGATAACAATGTTTAATCCAGGTGAAGTCTGATGAGCCCTGGGAGAAGGCATGCAATGCTGGTGAGTCAGAGCTGAAATACACTTGATGGATTGCATATCATGGTTAGGACTTCATCACGTACGTAGATTCAAGCCCAAATGTACAAAACACCTACAGATGTATATTAACAGCCAGGATGCTGTGATCACATCAATTTATGATATATATATATATATATATATATATATATATATATATATATATATATATATATATATATATATATATATAGACTTGTGCTCAATTCCACTCATGAACAATTTGTTTTGCTTCTACCTCACAGACCTAAGGGATGATTCTGATTTCCATTGAATGCACCAGAATAGTATCTTGTACTCATTCTAGCTGGTATATGCTGGCCATGCTTGGAATTATGTTTCTTTTTTGCAATTTGGTCTTCCTTTAAAGTTGGGCATTATAAATTGCATTAAGGAGTATCACATTTTAAATTGGAGGCAAGGACTTTCCAGGGGTTCCTGGGTGGAAGAGTCTCATCAAAGGAGGCCTCCTGGACAGAGTATATTCAAGGAAGAGAGGCACTAAGGACATATACCCCCTTACAAAATAGTTACATGCATCATATCCAAGTGTATTAAGCGTAAATGTGGACAATTTCAAAATCCAGAATGGAAAAATCCAGATATCCCTCCAGCTGCACCACTCCAGTGTGCATAAAACGGCAGACAAGCCCTTTCAATGTTCACTCACACATCATTACTTAATCATTCTGCATCTAAAAAAATGCTGAAAATAAAACTGTTGACCACAACATCTCCACGCGCATATTTGCATTTCCCAGCGGCGCTGTTAAACGCTGCAAGCCACCAAAAACAGATGACACCAGAAATTGTCTGTTGCGCGCCGAACTGTATGCCAGTGGTAAGGTGGTCACCATGGCAACAGCACACGATAAAGGAGTTACATTAGCTATTGAAATAATGTTAAGTGCAAAATGGTAATAAAAGGAAAAACAGCCATCTCTGAAGCAATTACTGAAGAAATTGTAATTAAATACGAAAGTTTATTCCCGTAACTCAATTTTTATAAAACTCTTGGATAATACAATCAGCTGTTTGCCCCCGGGGTTTTGTGTGTTGTCAGGGTCAGTTGTCGGCAGCTGCTGGGAGGGGGTGGTGCGGGATTGACATGTGAGTGTTTGCCGGACCGGGAAAGAGCGGTTTGGTAGGTGGAGCTGCGGAAACTTTAGCTTGTATAAATACTGGCGTGCTCGTAAACTGTGCCATTCGCAGATGCTGTTCCGGCTTCTTAACCACGCCAACTCTTTTGAGCGTCCTAGCCGTTGTTTTGCAGAAATAGGATGTTAAGTAGAATTTACCCGTCAGGCAGATGTGGCGGATAAGAACTTTTTAAGGCTGCGTACTTTTGTGTGTGTGTGTGTGTCATATTTTCCACATGTCCATGTACAGCGCTTTGACGCGTTTGGTTACGTGGCCAAGGTGCACGTGGCGCTCCCTGACCCGTCCACGAACCGCGGCAGGGACGTCAACGAGATGCGATAGCCTCGATTGCTGCTTCAAGCTGGGCAGCAAGCTTACCATTTTGTATAATTTGGGCTTAAGCTTGTTGCATGCTTAAATTAATTTTCTCATTGGATGTAGGCTAGTTCATTTGGCCCACCTTTACCATCCAGTTCACCTTTACTGATGTTTGTAACAGTAAAAGGCAAAATGCAAATATTAAAAAAGTGGATGGAATATGGAAGTAGCACAGCCAAAAATGGCTGTTGAAATCTGCAGAGAATGCATAGTTGTAATGGTGTATTTGTGGGAAAAAGTTTGCCTAGTATCTGCCTTATGACTCATTAAATTTTCAAATTGTATCAATTTGCTGATAAAAGCATATGTTGGAAGCAGCCAACATGCAGTTATGTGCTCTAAATATAGTAAGATGATGCTGTATATTTAAGATCATACTCTAAAAGCATACAAAGTCCTGATATAGGATTACCCACCACCAGTATGTGAAAGCAAAATATATTTTTGGAAGACCAACAGATTTGGACAGGTAATAAAACAACATGAATAGTATTTATATGATTAATTAATATTCACTTGTGTAACAATCAGTCATTTTTTAACAGTATGTAATTTGACTCAATGTCTGGCCAGATTGAAGTTCAAATACAGGTTTAGGCTTAGAAATCAGATAAGCACTGGTCTCAGGCTCAAGTCTGAGCTCAATCCTAAAGAAATATGCATGCAAATTTTGAACCAAAATAAGGTATATGTGAGCATGCCAAGTAGCATCACATGGGCTCTTCTAAATATCTATTGCTAACATATTGAGTGCTTTGCACATAAATGGTGAACAAAACAAGTTTTGTGGTAATTAACATGCTGTAAACATTCACCTTATCATTATATGGCCATTATTATTTTGTTTTCTTGATTTATCCCAATCAGATTGCATAGGTGACCTTGGTCTTAGCATGCTTGTCACAATGTGTTTTTTTGTGTGAACACTGAACCCACCACACAAGATGTTCCACCCAGCCAAACAGGTAACTCCTGCTTCCACTTATTTGCCAGACAGGATTGCAGATAATTTTGCATGCCTGTTTTGATATTCAGCAATATTGAGGTATCATAGGCCTGGTTTAACCCTTATTGGCTGGTTGCCAGGTGATCTTGCCTTGTCAGTGTTAGATCAAATAATGCACCTCCTCAGGGATTTGAACCCATTACCCCTGCATGAGGAGCCTCACATATGTCCCCCAGACCATGGAACATGGGTTGAATGCCATGACAATGTAATTTTAAATGTCAATGGAGACAACCAGAGTACCAGCTGTCTCAGTTTGTGAAATCTCAACTAGAATGTGCCATTGCAGTGCAGGTTATGGGTTCTTCACCTCAGTGATCTGAATCATGGTTGTCACATACAAAATGAGAATCAAAATGTGTCTGTATCAAACTAATATGAAAAGATCCTGTTGGAAGTGTCGATGTGTTGAAGGCCAAATTCACTCTGTCTAACAGTGATCCACTGTACTTTTCTGTTTATGCCCTAGGCAGCTGTTACCCTGTGACTGGCCAAACCTTCAGCTATCTCCTTGTGTATGCACCTACAAGGTTTCAGCAAGCAAGAACATGTCTGGCAGTGTTCTTAAACAGATGGCCCTAGCTAGCTGTGCATGGGTGTCTGTCCTGACTGTCCCTGGTATGCCAGATCAATGGCAGAAATAACCATTGTACATGAAATGGGTGTAGCAAACAAAGAGTTTTAATTCCCTGCTTGCCAGCATAAGTTAATCTGACCATAAAGGGGTGCTGCAGCCTGGAGATAGAGCCTGTGCTGCTATCAACAGCACAGTCTCTGGTAGAAAGTTGAGAAGAGGGGGCCGGTTTACATCAATTGGGCTCCGTCCAAGGCAGATTGGTTTGGCCCCTCGCCTCTCCTCACCTGAAGGTGACTGATGAGGGGTATGTGGCCCTTTATTCTGGAGGCCGCTAGGAGATGGAAGGACTGTACGTTAGTATCCAAAGGGACGCCGCAGAGCCGACGGAGGTGAGTCTGTGTGAGCCAGAACCTTGATTCACGGAGGTTTGGCCAGACACGCTCCCGTTGCGGGCCAGGTGCCCCGGCTATGTGACCAGGCCGACAGCGCACTGGGCAGCTCTGCGCTTCGGGCGCCAGCGGCGGCAGAGTCCGGCGGTGTGACGTGTCCTCGCCTGTGTTCCAGACGCGCCAGCATGCCGGAGCCGGGCGCCGACGCGGCGGCGGCGGCGGCAGAGCCCGGGCCGGGCCTGCCGGAGCGCGGCCACCGGCCGGCCGGCCGCACCGTCTCCCACCAGCCGTTGTCGCCGGAGCGGCGTGGTCACGTGCGCTCGGCCAGCCAGGGCACGCAGCTGCCGGGCCCCTCCATCCTCAAGGACCCGGAGCGGGCCGGCACGGCGGCGCGCCGCGGCCATGCGCGCGCCTTCAGTCACGGGCAGATCGGCATGGATGGACTGGACGATGTGCAGCGCGCCTCCTCCAGGACCGAGTTCACGCTGCCGCCCGGCCACGTGTCCCGCGAGCGGAGCGGCCGCGGCGCCACCGGCCGGCAGCGGCACGGCTCACGTGCCGACAGTCTGTTCCGCGGCCACTCGCGGCAGGCCTCGCGCTCCGAGAGTGTCTACACGCTCCGCCAGACGCAGCAAAGCTCCTCCATCTTCGACTACTTGTGCTTCTGGAAGAAAAAGGTGGCAGAGGAGGCGCGCCTGCGTGTTATTGTGCCAAACCACACGGTACCCGCCGGACACGCCGGCCAAGCAGCACCCGAACGCCGGCTTCCTGGACAACTACGTCCGGACTACCAAGTACACGTTGCTCTCTTTCCTGCCAAAGAACCTGTTCGAGCAGTTTCACCGTTTCGCCAACCTGTACTTTTTGTTCATCGTGTTGTTGAACTGGGTGCCGGAGATCAGTGCGTTCGGCAAGGAGGTGGCGATGCTGCCGCTAGTATTTGTGATGGGCGTGACGGCAATCAAAGACCTGTTCGAAGACCGGCGCCGCTACCTCAGCGACCGGCGGGTCAACACGTCCACCTGCAGAGTCTACGACAGGTGGGTCCCTCTTCTCTCGTCATGCTCTGTGATGGTGTGACTCGGCACAGCTGGCCGCGGCTGCCGGTACCGGTGCAGCCATTTGGGCGTTAAGCTGCTGAGTGTCCGCGTCCGTCGTCCTCGAAAGCCAGTCAGCTGTGCGGAGCATGCGCTGCACGATGTGAACGTCACCTCCCATCCAGCCGTCCGAGGCTTTGTCCTGGCGCCAGCTGACGGCCCAGCTGCTGTGGGTCAGTCGGGCGCAGTCCGCCGCCGTTCGTTTCCCGACCGCGGCGGCCGGTCGTCAGTGACCCGGGACGCTCCGCGCCGGTGGTTAGGGACTGTCAAGTCACGGTCCGCCCTGTCTCGGTTCGCTGCTCGCGGCGAACATCCCCAGCCACTCGTGGCTGCTCGCGGCGAACATCCCCCGCCGCTCGTGGCTGCTCGCGGCGAACATCCCCCGCCGCTTGTGGCTGCTCGCGGCGAACATCCGTAGCCGCCCGTGGCTGCTCGCGGCGAACATCCCCCGCCGCTCGTGGCTGCTCGCGGTGAACATCCCCGTCGCTCGTGGCTGCAAGCAGTAACAATCCTCTTGTGGCTGTTTACAACTTCCGACCTCGATCGAAACTTAAGCGACTGGCCGGAGCCATTGGCCGGGTGGCCGTCGTGGAGGCTCATGTTCACATCCGGACACTTATCGCGTCGGACGAGGCCGTGCAGGGCTTTGGGGCGGTGTTGAATTGACGTGGGACATGCCGGTTATGCCCGCAACAGATAGCGTGCACTCAGCAAGTGGATAAACCCTTCAGAGTTTATGTGTATATACTTTGCTGTCAACCCGCGGGAATAAAGCCGACAAGAGTTAGTAAAAGGCGTCATGAAATAGGCCGAACGGATGGCAGAACCGTCTGAACATTAAGGCGCGATAACAGTCAAGCCGCGAAAAATATCGACCTCGAGGGCGAGCCTTTGGCCTTCACGCTACGTGCCCAGGGGACATATCGACGCGTGGGTAACGCTGCCGATCACCTTGTGCCAGCGAACGGCTTCCGCCGGTGTTTTTCGGTTAATAATGGAGGCGGCCGTCGGCTGGGACGTCATTTGGCGGAGCACCGCTGGGAACGGCCAGCTGAGGCAGGCGGACCGGACCGACCAGCGGCGGCTCGGGCTGCGCCGCGCGCGTCTCCGCCGTAATGACGACAGCGACGGCAAATGGACCTCTGGCGTGCCAGCAAACTGCCAGGGTCATCGCGTGGGTTTCGGGGCGTTTGTTTGGTCTGAGCAGCCGCCAACAAAACGGCCATAGCAACGCCTAAGAGAGGTGATCCAGTGAAAAGGACCGGTTGAGTTATAGAAACGTTAGGATGCCGACGACAGATGCATGACTGCATGTCCCATTGGCCATGACTTAGGAAGTAGGAAGTTTATGATATCGATGTTTACTTTGTGGGGGAGCCAGGCCTCCGAATTGAGCGTGACTTGGGCCGACCTCCATGCCTGGTCGGGCGTGTGAACTGACGCAGGCTCCTAGCTCGGTTGTGACGTGGCCTTACGGGGTCCTTGCCAGGTCGTTCTGGTCACCGTGGTTTGTGGCGGGGGCGTGACCTGGGGCGACCTCGGTGCCTCGCCAGGTCGGTCAGCTGACTCAGGCACAGGTCTCGTCGTCGGCGCGGACGTGCGCGTGTGCGTGTGCGTGTGCGTGTATGTTGTATGTATGTGTCAGTCGGGGCGGGTTACCATGTCCGCTTGTGAAGGTGTCCGGCCTGTCCCCCGTCAGCCGGCGTTTCCGTTTCATGTCCGCTTGGCTTGTGAGGGTGTCCGGCTTGTCCTGTGTCGGTTGGACAGGTTATCATCTATTGTCTGCGGGCCGTGGCTGACTAAGTCAGGTTGCCGTTAGCCCTTCATGGTAGACGGAAGGTTTCCGTCGTAGACAGGTGGGTGATTTTGTACAGCATGTTGGACATGTCTTCCCTGCGAGGCCTCCTGCGAGCACTTGTGCATAATATGACAAATAGCTGTATACAGCCGGAGAAGTAGAGTCTGAGGCGCAGAGATCCTGGATGTTGATATTATATCTGGTATGTACCGGCTGGTGCAATCCAGTGTGCCCTTAATTTGCGTACATTTGACGCGGTTGGTTGCCGTAATTTGTACGTAGTTTTTTCGGACTAGCTAAAAAATTACCAGTAACCTAACTTGCATCGCGTATCATTAGACGACATCTTACACTGCCGCACTTCCGACCGCACGGCCCCCGGTCATCCGATCCATGCCCAGTCAGTGACCGCTGCTCCGCCGGGCCCGACCGCCTCCAGGAAACATAATCTCTGATGTCACGGCACTGCGCTGCTTCCGCCCATCCGGCCGGGTGGAGGCGCACGTGACGTGGTCTCTCTCTCTCTCTCTCTCTCTCTCTCTCTCTCTCTCTCTCTCTCTCTCTCTCTCTCTCTCTCTCTCCTCTCTCTCTCTCTCTCTCTCTCTCTCTTCTCTCTCTCTCTCTCTCTCTCTCTCTCTCTCTCTCTCTCTCTCTCTCTCTCTCTCTCTTCTCTCTCCTCTCTCTCTCTCTCTCTCTCTCTCTCTCTCTCTCTCTCTCTCTCTCTCTCTCTCTCTCTCTCTCTCTCTCTCTCTCTCTCTCTCTCTCTCTCTCTCTCTCTCTCTCTCTCTCTCTCTCTCTCTCTCTCTCTCTCTCTCTCTCTCTCTCTCTCTCTCTCTCTCTCTCTCTCTCTCCTCTCTCTCTCTCTCTCTCTCTCTCTCTCTCTCTCTCTCTCTCTCTCTCTCTCCTCTCTCTCTCTCTCTCTCTCTCTCTCTCTCTCTCTCTCTCTCTCTCTCTCTCTCTCTCTCTCTCTCTCTCTCTCTCTCTCTCTCTCTCTCTCTCTCTCTCTCTCTCTCTCTCTCTCTCTCTCTCTCTCTCTCTCTCTCTCTCTCTCTCTCTCTCTCTCTCTCTCTCTCTCTCTCTCTCTCTCTCTCTCTCTCTCTCTCTCTCTCTCTCTCTCTCTCTCTCTCTCTCCTCTCTCTCTCTCTCCTCTCTCTCTCTCTCTCTCTCCTCTCTCTCTCTCTCTCTCTCTCTCTCTCTCTCTCTCTCTCTCTCTCTCTCTCTCTCTCTCTCTCTCTCTCTCTCTCTCTCTCTCTCTCTCTCTCTCTCTCTCTCTCTCTCTCTTTCTCGCTTCTCTTTCCTCACTCCCTCTCTCTCTCCATTATTTATTATTTAACTTTGGTCTCTTTTATAAGAAGTGGTCAGATTTCAGTAACACTTTTTTTTCTTCCGGTTTCTTTTTCTGTCTTGGTACATGCTGGCATGTGCTACTCTACACTATGTTATCTCGGCTGCACTCCGTGGCACACGTTTTTATACCTCTATTTGTATGTGAGCATAGCTGTGCCTAGCAGCGTGCTCGCCAGACATATACGGACGTTTGAGTTGTGCTCCTCTAAGAGGCAGCTTATCGCCGCTTGTAAACGCCGCGATTACAGGGGATTATTCGAGGACTCGCCCGCCGTAATGGATCTCACAGCGGTGAGTGGCAGTTGTATTGTGTTCGATGCGAAACGTGACTTGTCATCATTACCTATGTACCTATTCTTTTCGTCCCTTGTCATAGCAGCTCGTCGCTCTAGTTTCCTCTATTTTCAGTGTTCCGTGCAGTTCACCACGGACTGTTAAAGGCATAGCAATTATACTCTTAGCACATGATGCGAGAATATTAATCTAGCGATGACACTTTATGGGTAATATCATGTAATGAAGCATTGCTGGCATTGAACATCGGCTTGCATGCCAGTTCGGTTGCTAATCACATCGAATCACATTAAGCAGCACGCCGCGCGATGTCTTTTGTATAACGCACGATCACCCGCCATTGTCAGCCATGGTACTCAGACACGTCCTCTGCCGTGTATTCGTCTGTAGTGAGCCGGCTGTGCGCGGGCGGGGCGGCGTGTCCACCGAGCCTCTCCGGATGTGTGCCCGCCTGCCATATCTGCTGACCCAGCACCGTGTGGGCGCGTCAACACGGCGTCAGGCGAGCCCGCCGGCACCAGCGTGACGCCGCCCGCGCCGGCGGTTGCCGGCGATCGCCCAGATTCCGTGATGTCATGCGCAGGCGGACGTCAAGCCACCGGGGATGGGCGGCAAGCTATGATGGTCCGTGTAATACGCGCGCAGTGTTTATGATGATGCTTGTCGGTGTTTCAAAGGCCTCAGCCCCTGCGAAGCTGCGTCCCCTTCTGGCCGAATGAGGCGATCTTGAGCTCCACTATCCGCTACGGTACGTATCCTAGGTGTGTTGGTCACTATCTGACGGGGCGAACAAAGCAGATGTGGTGTTAGGGCGTTTCGGTCCGGGGAGGTGCGCCGCCAGTCGCGCGCCGACGCTCAGACGCGAGGTGCTGCCCCGTCCGAGCGCCTGGGGCCGGCAGCGGGGCCGCTGTCCAACTGTTGACAGCGCGCCGTGTTTGTGTTCCCGGCGCCGCTGTTGTCTGCGAGCGCAGCCGTCAGCGGCAGCTGGCAGTCAGCAGACCCCACTGTCGATGCCACCCTTCCCTCGCTGTTCCAGCGGCGGGAACGTTCCGGCGTTGTCCGCGGTCGAGGCGCTCCGTCTGCGCACGGTGAAGGCTCCGTCGATGTCCTCGCGCACGCCCACGCATGGCTGTCAGCGTAACGTGCAGGAGCTTTAAACGGCCCCTGTCGAGGAGCGCAGGCTCTGCAGCGCACGCACGCGCGCCGCGTGCAATCCCGCACCCGTGCTCGGCCCTGCATTGCCGTGCTTTGTCAGGCTCGCCATGCTCCTCCAGGCTCTGGCTGCTCTCCGCACCCTGTCGCGCTCCTCCGCGCTCTGCCGCGCGCCCGCCGTCCTCGCCTCTGGCGGCCTCGGCCGCTGCAGGGCCACGGCGCACAGGCCGCCCGCTGCACTGGTCATACTGCCTATCACGGCGCGTCGTCTGGCGGCGGCGCTCGTGGGCGAGCCGAGGTCGCGATGTCTGTCCTCGAGCGCTGCTATCATCTGCTCCAGAGGCGGGACGCC